CTAAAGTGCTTTTGTAGAGTTAAGTTTGATAAGTCATAATAGCTTGTAGTTTAACTAAAAGTCTTTAAACTAAAATAATTGATGATTAAAGAAGTATTTTAAGATTATTTTGTAATTTTGGCGACAAATTTCTGTGTTCTAGTTAATTTTTTATTTTTTTGTTGGAATTTGATGTGGCCTCATTTGTATTAGTGTGATGTGTCTTCAGTTTTCATGATTCAGGTTTATGTCTAGTCGTTTCCTGATGCGAGGCCGAGAACCGTCGACATGTCTTTATCCTTATCACACAACCGTACAGAGAGATGACTGCAGCCCCAAGAGGAGATATCCAACCAGAACCCCATCTAAAGAAGATTTATCTCCTAGGTAAAGTTAAATTTTTTATCGAAAATACAACAAACAGATCGATGATGTAATGATTAAATCAAAAGCTGAATTTCATCGACTTTGACCTCCATCGAGAGCAGCTGTATTAAAAGGCAATTTCTATTGTTAAGCCCATTATTATTCATCACTTCCACTTTGAAACGTGGATGGAATCCGGATACAACGAGAAGTAGTTAAAATTATGAAATAAGTTCATTGTAGGCGCCACTCTAAGACACGGACGTCTAATTAATATTCAAGATAACGCAAGTTTATGTTTGAATTATTGCCATTAAATCGCACTCTGACGTTGAACAGAAGCCCAACCCACAACCACAAAATACAGAAATTAATTTGCAAGAAATTTTGCCATATTGCTTCACCAACAAGATCTTTGAAAGCTTGTTTTTGATATCCGTTTTGATGTTGGTGTCCTTGGGTGGTGTGTGGACCCGTCTTAACGCACTTTATCGATCGCGTCATTTTTCTGTTCGCAGCTTAGAAGACGGCGGCCCTTTCGGCGGCAGCTGTCAAATCCACGGTCCCGTGGCCATCCCGCACTCCGAATCGGAAGATCTCACCGTATCGGCGGAGGCCGATAATGGAATCAAAAGCCCAGTGCTGCGAAATCCTGGATTTTCGCATTCACGTTGTCCTCCCGAAATTCACAAATCGTGCTTCTGCGTACGATTTATCGCAGAGCACACGAAGATGTTAGAGGACTCGACTAAGGTGCCACATTAGACTAAAAGTGTTTATTTTATTGTAATTTAGTGGGACATCGTTTCATTTTCTTATTACGTCATTTTTCTTGAGACGCGTTTCATGAGACGGAAGCAGAGAGAGGATTTCTTATCGGAGATGGGACAGTGTCAGCGTTTCAGAAGTTCTCTGGTCCGGGTGATATTTCAACCCGTTTGACACTAGCTACGACTACGAAAACAAAGTCGAGTCACTCGGGAAATATTCCACTACCGAAATGAAAATTCGAGACGAGTACAATTGATTTACTCAATTAAGACAATGTTAATGTCGGTGAAACGTCCAACGTCTATCATAAACCAATTTTGAGACCCTTCAAATTTACAATTTCCTTCAAGTGTTTAAGTTGATTTCAAGTTACAAACTTGCTTAAGCTTGTTCTTCACCGACGCAAAAAATTTAATAACACAATTTTGTGGCGATGGAGATATGCTCTCTTTGACGTTTCGTGTGGCGATTTAAATTAATTTGTTTTAAAGTCGTTATTTTTGTTTAGGTGAAGGAAGATTGGAAATACGTGGCGATGGTGTTGGACCGTTTGTTTCTGTGGATATTTACCCTGGCCGTCTTGGTGGGAACGGCCGGGATAATCCTACAAGCTCCTACGTTATACGACGATCGCATCCCAATCGACAAAAAATTCGAGGAGTATACCACCACTACTGTTGTTCGTTGCCCTCCTCCACAGTAGTTCCTCACGTTATTGCCTAAATATCATTTCATTAATATCGAATATCATCGTTGTTGTGTAAATATGAAACTCATCAAAATAATTTTATAATGCAGTTGTATCGCAACGAAATTCTGTTTACTTAAGCGCATAATTTTTGTATAAACAAAAATTACGCAATGTATGACTGTTAAAAATTCATCTCGTCCTACAAATTCGTCGACTGCAAAACGACAGGAAAAAAGCTTATGAATTTTGTATTCAATTGAAAGCTACCTGAATTGTACATAAGCATCAATAATTATATATTTTACACAGCTCGATACGTTTTCTATTTATAAAAAAAAGAATTTTACGAAGACTTATAGATTGGGTTTTTTGTATGTTTTTAAACACGTAGTGCCATTATCGAATTTAATTACGGTTCGGAAAATTTTAAATAAAATGATGTTTAAATAGCACACAATTAAATAAAATGAAATGTATCTAAATAATATAGAAACGTAAAGCTAGACATTAAAATGAATAAATAAATATTAGATTACATAGGTAGAAAAAATTAAATATATATTTAGATCAATAGACTGCCTATTGACATAATGGGAACATAATTTGTACATATAATCTATGTTAGATTGGTTAGTCCTATCGTTAAAATTGTGTTGTATCATAGTTTAAAATTGTTATACGTTGTTGCTTGGTTTTATAAATATCCATGCTTAATAAAGTATTTCGAAAAATTTTTGTCATTTCCATTCTCGATGTTACTTTACTCAAGGTGATCAAAAACTTTGCTTTAGTCATTCACCAATAGTTGGCTCTCCAGCTGCTGTTATTGTTATTGTCCTATTGATTTTTCCTAGGCAAGAACTTTAGTTTGAATCTAATTTCACACCTGAGAATAAACTATAACTCTACATTACTAAATAATAAAACAATCACCCGGAATCATTGTCAATTTTTTTTATTTCAACAAAAAACCTAATACTGCTCTAATAACAAAATTGTAATGTAAATAAATAATTCCTCTTTTATGTCGCCGTTTCTGCTCCTAATCCAAATTAACATGCGAATGGCATTCCGCCGTATAATTACCAGGAACGTGGGGTCTTGTAATTCGTATAAAGTCATCCAAAGGGCAGAGAACATCACACCCTTCCAACTTTTGCACTTCAGGTTCACTTGTAACATCTCTCAAATACAACACCTGAAACTCTCATTCGCACCGTTTCTTTCTCTTCGAAACCTCTCACCTTGACTCCATTCTGATACAATTCGACGATCACTGCTGCACTATATTTCGGTACGTGAGGTTTAAACAAATTTAAAGCAGCTAAAATATTGATCACGTTGTTTTCATGTCCGGAATACAGAAAGATTTTTTCACGTAATAAATTCCGAGACTTGGCTGACATCTGTTTGATAATCTGACCCAACATGCGACCTGAAACCACACTCTCACACCTTGTAACATTTTTGAAATTTTTTTACCGCCGTTTAGGCGCTTCAAAACAGTGTTGTAATTCTCGTAATTGCATTGTTTGGCTGCCATTGCGTGTAATTGTTCGGGGTAAACGCTTTGTGCCCATTCAGGCAAAGTGAGATTCATTGATTCTTCGGCATTCAAAGTTTGGTAAACTCCAAAAACATCGCCAAGAGTGTTCATCGGCTTTTTCGTCTTCTCGGCGATGTATTTGAAAAAGTCGCGATTGGCTTTAATCTCACGCTGGACTTCCTCGGACGAAAGGACTTCCTCTAATTCTTTCATATAAGCAGGACAATACGCATTAGGGCGTCTTAAAGTCTACAAAATTAGAATCAGTAGCGCCCAAAACTAACTTCCCAACTAACATAATCGTATTTGTCTTTATCGTAGTGATAGGGAATTGGCATCCATGCGAGATTATCGTTGAATTTTTGTGACTTTGAGGGTGGAAAAAGTCCAGCTAAGGCCAAAAGTGCTGTCATTTTAGTACGGTCAAAGTCGGTACTATAAGCTTTGACCACATCAGAAGTGTAAATATCGCCCAAAAAATAATCATATTTTTGCCTCAAAAGTTGGCCTAGTTTGAAAGACATATTTTTGCCTCTCTGTTAACAAAAACAACGTTAAAATTGTTAATCGGGTTTAATGGAAAGAGTTACGTTAGTTAAGGCTCCGTATCCCATTGGAGTAAATGTTTCAGAATTGAAAGGATCTGTTGGGTAAATGTCTTTAAGTTCGGGAGTACGACTTCCATGTCTGAAAATCTAAAACAATTTTTAAAAATGGGTCAAGGTTTGGCTTACCACATGGACGAGTTGGAGTTGTGCGTCAAGACAATTGATAAAAATTGCGATTAAATAAATAGATAAAAACTTCATTTTGTTTGCAAATTATGTCAAAGAATGTCAACGCCGTACTGAGATGTGATCGTTTGATACCCATTTTATATGATTAGGGGACAGAACCGGAGTCTTTTAAACGTTGACCTTAAATAACACTTTAAATCAGTGGATGTAAAATTTGTAATTTTAGTGCATCACATACAAATATATAATTTTTATCAAACTGTGATAACGTTAAAATGGAGGTACTTTTGTGAAAAATGTTTCAGTGGAAGAGTTTACTTTGCTCAACCTTGTAAGTCATTATGGTTTAGTCGTTGTTGTCTTGATTTAATTCAATCAAAATGTACATCTAAATAACAAAACAGATAATATGACCATTTATCCATTCATTGAGTTACATTGGAGATAATATCTGATGCGTAAGTGTGGACGTAAAATTTTACATCACTAAAACCCGATAAATATTGTTGATGTTCTAAATATAGATGAATGGCACATCTAAGAAAATCGTTTGAGTGCCACTGAAAAGTACCAAAAACCTTGTATAACTCAACTGGAAACATCTAGTTCTTATCATTAATTTTCTTTGAAACGATTTTTTCCCCGCATTATTATTTTCTAAAATTAATTAAAATACGTTTATATTACGTATCATGAGACCTCAGAATGTAATCATTTCTTGCACAATTGTGGCTATCTAAGAATAACACTGAAATATTATTTATGGAAAATGAAACATATTTATAGTACGAGAAGTAATGGAAACATTTTATTATTTTTTATTATAAATAAAACAGTCAATAACCTAAATTATTTTTAAATTTTCCAATCTTTTCAGATTGTTGAGTCAGACAGATAGAGCCAACTGTGTTGGTTTTTGATAAAACTGAATTAAAAATGCGTTAATAATTTGTTGAGGTTGATAATGGGAGTAGGAAACTAACAAGTTGTGAAATTGTTATTTCTTCACTTTTAATCAAATGTTATTACCTGTTGATAACCTTTGGGATTACGGATGTCTACAATAAGACAAAAATTTCATCAAATAATTTTATTTTACTCAAAATAGAGCTCACTTAAATTAACTTATAAAGTTAAATATATTTGTCTTAAGGAACAAAACTATTACTTGACTAGTCAAATAATTTCTGAGACTGATTTATCCTCTATTTTATCCTCTAATCTGCAAGTTCGCACTCGTTTCTAGACTCAGGCAAATACTTTTTATAGAGGTTAACGAAACGTTCAAATCGACAGAAATTGTTACAATTTGGCAGTTTCATCCGTTTTGGCTTTTCTGTCCTGTAATCTTGATAAAAAACCTTAAATAGAGAAATTTTATAGAATTCCTAAACTTTAACAAGATAGTTACTTTGACGATGCGAATTCCTTTAATGTTGTGAATTTCAATCAACATATAAGAACCATAAGGTGGAACATGAGGATAATAAATTCCTAAAAGATACATCAAATGGGCGATATTGTATTCGTGGGCTGAATATATAAACATGCGTTTTCTTTGATGCAACATATTCTTGATTTTTTGCTCGGAGTCGTAAATAATTTTCTTCAACAAAAATCCTAACCAGATTTGTGTAAAATGTCAATATTTCTTAATTACCTGAAGCCAATTTTTTCAATTCCGTGTTTGCAGTACTTAGAAAATATTCCAAGTGAGTTAAGTCACTTAAAACTTTGGGGTAAACTTTTTCAGTCCAGGCTGGCAAGACAAGACCATTTTCTTGCTCCGTCGTCAAAGTAAAATACATATCGGCCATTTTCTTACTCGTAAAATTTGAACCACTATTGTCGATGATGTATTTCTTAATATCTGAATATTGTTCAAACAATTTTTGCCCATCTAGTGAATTTAAAAAATTATTGTAACTATTTTTGTACCGTTTGCAGTTTTTAAAAGGGTCGCCCAAAACCTGTCACAACGTTAAAAAATGCATAGATTAAGTTTTAAACACTCACGTAATCGTCATCGAGGTGAAAATAATTAAACGGAATGGGTTGCCAATGCAGATTTTTCTCCCAGATTAATTCTTTTTCTGGTGGAAATAATGAAGCCAAGACGAGTTGTAACGACATTTTCGTCCTGTTGTAATCAGTAGAACGGGCATCGATTGTGTTTAAAGTATAAGTGCCCAAAAATTTCTTGTATCGTTTATGTAAAGCTTTTCCTAGTAAGTATTGTTTCCGTTTTCCAGCCTAGAATGATTTTATTAATTGCTGCAAAATATATTTTGTTTTTTACATTGGTAAGTTGGCCAAAACCGAAAGGATAGTAAGTCTCATTAATGTGTGGATCCTTAGGATAGATTACATGCCTGTCAGGAGTGCGATCTCCGTGTCTGAAAAGCTAAAAACTTAACTTAATCGAAATTCACAATTTTTGCTAGTTTTATTACCACGTGGACTAGTTCCAAAGTACTTGTTTTACCGTCAATTAAGGCGAAAAAGTTGGCAGTTGCCAAAAGTAAACACAAGTATAGTTTCACCATTTTTGTACTAATTACCCTAATTAAACACTGCTTTATTATATAGTTGTTTGATTGAGGGGTTATCAGAATAAGTTGTACACGCGGTCATCATATATTAAATTATGATTTAGTAAAATTCGCAGTTAAAAGACTTTGTGCTTTTGGCTCTACTTTTCGGCAAAATTCGGAATTTTCTTATCTCATCTAATTAAAAAAACTTAAAAATATTAGTGCAACTAAGACTCATATCATATCATTCGTTTTTGAAACGTTAAGACAGTCCTCACGTTCTAAACTTTGACCTATTTCGATAAAAATATTATGTTGCCACATCAATGTGGTTACACAGCACAAATATTCTAGGTATGACTATGACTATTGAGTGACATTTAAAAAGCAGTTTTTTTTCTTAAAAATTCTATTTTTTTGTTAAATAATAACACGTGTAAAATAATATTTTATTATTAATGAAAGAGTTATTAATTAAAAAAAAATACTTTATATCTCAAATTCCATTTTGTTTGTTTTAAGATTAACATACAAAGTGATCCAAAATGACTGAATATGTTGGCAATCCTGACCCTAATTTTTAAAGCTTACCATTAGAGTACGCTTTTGATTAAGAACAATTCAACAATCTTGTGGGGTTGTACGTATTATTAACAAAAATTCTTTCAACAGACTCTAGATCACTTCGTATTAAAGTTGTTGACGTCTTTTTCATTTTATCATTAAAAATAGTGCAATAAAATTAAGAAATATTTGGAATTAAAAACACCTAGCTCTAAAATTTTTAGTTATTAATTTTTTAGAGAATAACTATACGCAACATAAATAACAATCTTTCATGAATATTGTTTTAAAGTTCTGGGACCCTTTATTGAACATTTTAGTCAATGAGTATAATACTCTTGTAGTTTCGTATCTTAAAGCAGCTGCCATCTGTGGGCTATTAACCAAGTTACAAATAGTTGTTCTTTCTACAGGCGTCTTGAATCGAAATCGTTGGAATTAAATCTTTCTGCAACTGAACAAATTGGTCATAAGGACAAAGAACTCCACATTTTGGAATGTTGAGCTCTACGGGTTCTGTAGCTTCTGTATCGTTTCTGTAACGAAGCTGTAACAAAAAGAAGGTTACTGTTCGGTTTTTGTTATCACAGATGCGTCATGCTATTGATAAGGAAATTACACAGTACAATAAACATATTTCGATTTGTTGATGTAAATGATGACTTGGAAAAGTAAAAATTTGAGACACGTTTTTCGAGGTTGACCTTTGCAAACGACAATTAAAAAACCGCAATATTTAATTAGTATTGTCTAATGAATTTCAGCTTGATTTGTGATCTTTACCTTGACATAATAATAGTCGTTAGCCTTATGAATTTCAAAGGAGATGGCACTTCCGTAGGGCGGAACGTGTGCTTTATAGTTGACATTGAGGGCATTTAACATGTATCCCAAAGTGGATTCGTGTCCTGAATACAAATAGATTTTCTTCTTAGAGTTCCCCTCAATTTTATTTTTCGAATCATCGAGAATTTTCTTTAACATGTAACCGGAATTGATTTGTCTAGTTCTTGGGTCGTAATTGTGATAACCATAAACTTGAGCAGCTATGCTTTGAATTGGCTCAGGATAGATAGTCCTTACCCAATCGGGGATAATCAACCCCATATCATCTTCCGTTTTAAAATTAAATAAAATGTCTTGCATATCGGCCGGATTTGTCATAGATTTGCCGGAATTTTCTTGAATAAAAGCCATGGTTTCTTTGTAGGGTTTAATATACTTGTCTTGCACTTCTTCTATTTCGAGTAAATGGTTAATGACATCAGATTTATAAGGACACGTACCCCATGGATGAAACAGCTATAAGAAATCAATAATAATAATAACAACACAATTTTGCAAATTTATTTACATCTTCTTCGGAATCGGATTTATACGAAACCGGGATTGGTTGCCATTCTAGGTCTTGATTCCATTGCTGAATCTCATTGGGCGGGAAAAGTCCAGCGAGGACTAATTGGGCACTCATTTTAGTCCTTGAAACATCGGTACTTCTCACCCATACCTCATCTTCGGTGTAAACATCACCGAGAAAGTCTCCGTAGAGGCTCTTGAGGTAACGCCCTAATTTGTACTCTCCTAATTTACCATCCTGCAGTTTAATTTAATTTGGTTGTTAATCAAGAATAGGTGTAATTACGTTTGTTAATCCTCCCATTCCGATTGGATAGAACGACTGGCCTTTGTTAGGATCGTTAGGGTAAAACCCCGTTGTTGTACGAGCTCCATGTCTAAAAATCTTAAAAAAAAATACATATTTTAACACATTTTTAGCTTTTACGACTTACGACGCTCACGAGTATTAAATCAGTCGCCGGATCTGCTGTAATAGTTGCAGATTTAACTAAATAAACTACACAAAAACACAAAAAATGTTTAAGTAGTGACTTCATAATAACTGTTGTGATGAAGTGTCAGGATACCTAAGTTATTTTATTGTGATTCTCCCACTTTTATTGTGAATTATTCTGGACGTGTCCTTGATCTCTGGTATTCTTTGTATATTTGTGATAAGCAAGTGGAGTTTCCTAAATACTCCAAATAAGACAATTTGCGATCAAAATTTTGTATGAGTTTTTGTGTAATTTGTTTAATAATAATTAATTATGTTCTCATAGCAACAACAAATTATGTTTTATCTGATTATTTTAGATTGTCAGTACCGATTATCTTGCTTGTATTGTTAAAATAAAATTTCAAATAGCAACAAAATTTGAGAAATGTACAAGACATATCTTAATGCTATTTATATCATTCGAGATAAAAAAAAAAGTAGTAAACAGATGCGATACGGAGCAAGTTCACTTTAAACTTTCATGTTTAACCAGTAACTATTGAAGAAATAAACATGAATAAGTAGAAATCAAGAGAAATTAGAGTTTATTCAGATTTCATTTTGTTAGCGCCTGCTTTTTGTGACAGCTTTACTTAATAGCTTGCTGTGTTCTCTTGTAGATGGCGGCTTTGGTTACCTCGAGTCACAAATTGTTTCATATTGCAAATAAAACTTCATGATTTATGTTAAGTAAAATTTACATTCAAAAAACAAAACATTGTTAAAGTTCGCCGCAAAGTACTTCCGGCAATAAAAACTTTATTAAATGATAATAAATAAAGTCAGAAGAGCACATGCTGTTTATATTCACATAAAGTCCCCCCAGAAGCGTGCTCATGTCATTTATGAGTTTCACAAAGTAATCTTTTGAAACGGTACTTAATATATCGTTTTTGAGTTTGGAACTTTTCTCTTAATTAGAAAAGTTATTCTGTGTTCGGTGAGTCAATAGTAATTAGGACATGGTAATTTACTAATAACACAAAACTAGAGCTTTGTTTTAACAGTCTACGACACGCTTAAGATTTATTAAAAGTTGTTTCGATAGCAGCTTGTTTTCAATTAGTTAAGTGTGAAAGTTCCAACTTCCTGACTGTAAATAATTTATTACTCAGACTTGGACTCGTAATTTCTAATTTCTAAACAAACACCTTTTATTTGTGTCGTTCCATCCGCAAAACATGCTCTTAAACTCTGGCTGTAAAGTGAAATAGTTCGTACATAAGTGCGGTGAAACGGCCGGAGTCAACTGTAGTTCCAGGTTAATTCCGGAGATTTATTTGATGCTTCTCCCATCGTAAAGCTCCGGGCCGGTCTAATCGAATTTTCAAAGTGTAAACTGAGATTTTCAGTTGAAAATTAAAATTGCGAAAAGCGATGGAATTTCTATCACAAGACGCATCTAATCAAGTTTGATTGTGTGTGAAGTTAAAACGTGTTTCATTTATATCCTGGCTTCTTTCAAATCTAAATTCCTTTTAACGCGGCTTCGAATTTAATTTACTCTTTTATTGGTGGTAATGTTAAGCCGCATTCACTTGAAGCTACTTAACTAATGCAATTGAGGAAATATTCGCAAAATGCATGCAAGCTTCAATTAGAGCTTTCACAAAAACGGCAATTCAACAAATTTTTCAATTAATGATTTAAAGCTTTATCACGTTTGATAAATTTGTGTTCTTTTAACGTACCTAAATGTACAAGAAGTTCTAAATTTTAGTGATTTACTGATTTATTTTAAGAAAGCAATAGTATCAAAACCAAATATTACAAAAAATTATATACAAATATTTTTTGTATGCGCTTCTATTTTACGGACTCATGTACCTAAAATGAGTTTTTTTTAACAAAATAGTTATTTTAAAGGTACTAGTACCTTTATTTTTAATCAGTATTTTCAAAAAAAAATTTTTTTATAATATTAAGTTTGAATGTATTTATGGAAACTTTAACAATAAATGTTCATTGTGACATGTACCTAAAAAGTTTTTGAAGACTCGTTTGTTATTCTAGAGTTGGCTTTGCCTCGTACACAAAAAGATATAGAAATAACTATTTTAACATTATTAAAAATATATATACTATATATATAATACTATGTTTTGTAGTACCTATATAATAGTTATTTACAATATACAAGACGATAAAAAAATTGTTTATACGAGTGAAAAGGTTAAGTTTACGAGTGACGTAGTCAGTTGGATTTGCCTAAGAGCATATTTGAGTGAGTTTATTACAAATAAATAGTTTTATATTTTTCTAAAAAAAACCTTGCTTTTTTATTAACTACAAAGATTCCAAAAATATGATTTAGAAGTATGACAAAAGATCTATTTTCAGGAGTGTTTTTGGTATTGACCTAGTAATTATCTTAGAACTGACTAGGCAACTATGACATTCAAAATATTTACCTATATAAATTTTTAGATCAATTTGGTGGCTTAGAGAACTCCTGAAAAATTATGTTTTCACATGTCTCTAAAATGTTTTTGCGGAGTCATTTGCTATTTTAGACACATCAACAATTTGTCCTCAAAAACTGTGTTTTAGGTATTTTTAACAAAATTTGCTATTTCATTGATTATCAAGAAACTTGTTCCACTGTCGGGAATAAAAAGTGTCAGTTATCAAATAAAAATAGTGATGCATTTTTTATGACAATCTCTTTCATTCTTCTTGGAAAGCTCTCTCAAGCTCGCCTCTGACTCTAAAGACTAGCATTTGACATTTGCACAAATCGATAAAAGGCGGACGCAAGCGCAAAATACGCCGCCAGTCCCCAAAACACATTTATACACAGAACCTAATTACACAACTTCTTTATTTTAACCATTAGTGAATTGTTTACAACTTTACGTGTAACCTGTTTTCTTCCTAGTCGTGATTTATCGAATCAGTATTAAATTTTAGTGAAATCAAAGCGTATAAAAACCTGCCGAAGAACAACAGTGAGAACACCCACCTTTCTTAAATTATTAAACAGGAATATGTGATTGTTTTTGATTATTGTTATCGATTCAGGTGTTAGAGCAAACAAATGATTCAGGTAATTATAGGTTGCTTGCTGAAGGAATTTATTATTTATCAGCTAAAAGTCTTGCTTTTTTCATTTTATTCAATTTCCAACACAGCAATTTATTATGTGCATGGCAATTGTTTGATAACTCTGATAAGCATGATACAAAGCAGATGTTTATTGTAATTATTTTAAAGGGATCATGTCGGATCTGGAACATAAGTATTTTGGCTGTAGTTTTCCTCTCCATCTACAACATTCTTCTCACTCTGAAACTAATGTACAGCCCAGAATGCAGCAAACACTCCCCTGTGGCTCTAAAGCCAGCCCAAAAGGTCGTAAAATGTGATCCTCCAAGACTTAGTTATTCCAAAAGCGACCAAATCTTCAAGCTCGACCTTCGTTTAGGTCGTTGGGACAACCGGCTTCAATACAAACTTTTCGACAACATCCTCATCGGCGATCATTTTGCCGCTCTCAGTGACGTCCACAAGACGTGTTTTGCAACTCAAAGTTCTCTCGAAAAAATTGCCTCAATTGTAGAAGTAACTGCAAACTGGAAAGGTCCTATTTCACTGGCTACGTTCGCAGCCAGCGACGATGAGCTTAATTCGCTACTTTTATATATACTTTTTCTAAGAGATTGTTTTGCCAAAATAAGGGAACAAGTCAGTTTTCATTTCGCTTATCCGAAGGATCATCGACCAAAAAACATAAATATTGATTTTGATAAGTTGAAGGAGATGAACTGTGCGAATCCTGCGGGAGCGCTTCAGCAATTAGTCAAGCAATACCTTAAAGGGAATAAATGGAGAACGAAATTGCCGTACCCTCAAAACCATCTAAGGAATTTAGCTCGGAAGAATTGTCAAAGCAAGTTTGTCTTCCTCACGGATGTAGATATTATCCCGAGTAAGGATATGGTGGAAAAACTGGATATATTCCTCGGACGTGTAAAATGTAACGGGCTTTGCGCATACGTCATTCCGACTTATGAAATCGACGAAAGAGTCAGGTTTCCTCCAAATAAGACTGAACTTATTCGATTAGCAAATAAAGGCCTAGCTAGACCCTTCCACCACAAGGTTTTTATCTACAATCAATTCGCCACGAATTTTACCAAGTAAGTCGTCACTCACTGTTGGAACATTTGTAAAAATTGTGTTCAATAGATGGCAAAGCACTTCCAACGAAAGCCCGGAAGTGCACATTAGCCATCCCGTCACGAACTTTGAATTCCTCTACGAACCCTTCTATGTGGCTCCGGATACAGTTCCTCCCCACGACGAGAGGTTTGTGGGATACGGATATACCCGAAACAGTCAGGTAAAAGTCGACCAAAACCAGTGAAACATTTGCAATTTTTATTTTTTAGGTGTATGAAATGTTTGTGGCCGGCTATGAATTCCTTGTGCTTTCGCCAATTTTCACGTGTCATTGGGGCCTCCAAGTGAAGAAAACTCGGCCTCCGTGGCGGGAGCACCAAAACAATCTAAACCGAAAACATTTCGATGGATTCAAACGCGAAATCTTCGCCAAGTACGACAAAGACCCGCTTCATATCATGTCAGGCCGAAAAAATTGAAACTCTATTTAAATCGCACATTTAATGTTAAACAATTATTTTGTTTACAATAAAGTATTGAGATTATAATTGGGTTACGTTTTTGATGAAATCGCGCAGCTCGGAGATGCGGGAATAGACCCCGGGGTACTCGGGGCGAGCACAGCCAAATCCCCAGGACACAATCCCGACGAGGAGGCCGTCGGCGACTAAAGGACCACCGGAATCACCCTACAAATATAAATTTTAACCTTGAAACTATACGATTTGTAGGTGATACCTGACACGAGTCTTTGCCACCGAATTCGGCTTGAGCACAAAGCATTCGTTTACTAATTGTCATCTCCTCTTTTTCGTATGCTTTTTGGCACTTTTCATTTGTAATATATGGAATTTCGACGACTTGCAATTGGTCCGGGCTTTCGCCCTCTTCAGTTAACATGCCCCAACCGGTCACTGTGACATTAGTTCCGAGAGATATTTTGTAGTTACTTGGAGCTAACCCAATTGGTAGCGCAGATAAACTAAATTCTATCGAGTTGTAAAGATGCAAAATAGAAATGTCATAATCCATAGTTTCAACAGTGAAGCGTGGGTTCTGGTACACTTTCTTCACCGTTATTTCTTGACCACCTTTATTCGGAGCGCTAGAGCCAGCTCTAATAGTTAGTGCCATATCAAAATTTCTAAAATTTTTAATTAAAAGTAAATTTACACCAAATAAATAAAATACCCATTAGTGCAGTGAGCCGCTGTTATGACATAATCAGGACTAATAATTGAACCGCCACAAATGTGGAATCCATAATAATGTAAAGAGACTTGATAAGGGTATTCTTCTATGGTTGTTGATCTTCCACCGACGATTCTGCCATCAAATTTTGGGGCACCTAATCCAAATTGATTAGTTACAAGTACATATTAATTTAAAAAAATAACTTACCATTAACGGTGAGTACAAGACTTAGGATTATTATTGGAAGCATTGTTGGTTTTAAAAGAAAGTTAAAAATTCTGCGTTTATATAGTGGTTTCGATTGATACATTTCGTAAGAGACTCTTTTGCTTAGAACGAAAAAGTGTTATCAATGAGAAATTTAGAGTACTCAAATAACGAAAACAATGGAATTGATGCAATTATTTTAGGATTAACAATAAAATAAGCAATATTTGTTTTAATAAACTTGAAAAAAAATTAAATATTTTTGAAACTCTTTACCTTGATTTAGATTTAGACAAAAGAGGAAGCTATTCACAGTGATAAGTGTCACCTTATACACTCTGTTGAATTAAAATTGAAGGTTTTTAAAATCTATTATTATGTATTTTAAAGTTTACCTATCCTACACATTGAATAAAATTCGGTAAAAAAACAAAATAAAGAATGTAATAGTAATAAATTTGCTTTTCAACTGTTATGAATTTAATGAACATAGCAGTCAAACGACGTAAGTTATTTTTATTTAAATATATGTATAAAACATCGTGTATTATCTTTTATCCACAATCACTCTATAATTAGATGCGTATAAAGTACCACTTTATCCACTAGTGAAATAACGTAACTTTATTCCACTGTTAGTAACCAGCGCACCGCGTAACAGCTTACTACGTTTAATCGAAAGCACATTTGGCGTGACGTTTAAATGTCAGTTTAATTTTTAACTAAGTTTCGAATAATTTGGGCCTGTGATTGTGGATAAAACATTATATTGCAGTCGTGTGTTAGTCGCGTTTTATCCACTTAAGAAAATTAACCGTGCGACGTTTTCGCGGTTAAACATTCTTACGTGGATAAAACGCTATCTAACACACTCTTACAGTAAATAAGTATTTTTAATTAGTTTAATAAAATTATTTTTAACAGCGACAGAATTGCCATTATTCTTTTTAGTGTAGGTATAATACAGTGCGATCAAAAAGATTATCTATCAAGCAAGCCTAGAAATTTAAAACGTGTGTCTGCGGAAGATAAAATGTCACAATGGTAAATAGGAAATGTCAAAATATTTTTTTTGAAAACTGTAACAACAAATCGTGGTGAACGATTTGTATGAATAAACTCCAACTACATCTCATTTTAGAGTGTTTTAAGACGTTTCATACAGAAATTCAATTTGTTTAGATCAATATTTATGTATAAAATAATTTTTTGACATCTAGGTGACATACAAACTTCCAAGCGACATACGTCCTCAACTAGTACGCCTATTTGATAGAAAGACTTTTGTAGAAAATAAAATTTTACCTTGTAACCTTTGTTTATTCTGTAAAAAAACTTTATTTGTCTCAATTTTTTACGGCATTCTTCGTATATCAAGATCATGGCAATTGCTCGTAGTTTGAGTACATTTTGAATGGAAAAAAAAATGGAATTAATAACACTATTAAATTTAATAAGCAACAACAAGTTTGATTTACATTTAATAATCTAAAGTCAAACAAAAAAAAGCCAAGTAGTCTGTGAAAATGTATTTTGGGTTGCGTCTGAAAATTGGTCAGGGTCTTTATTGTAAATGAGCCTGTAGAAACAAGATATCATATGCAAGAATCAAGAAAGTAGTGGATGATATAGGTTGCCAGGCGAATTACAAATATCATCTGCAATAAATTTTTATTTGAAATAAATTAATAATTAATAGTTACATAATTATCTACTTTTAAGCAAAAGTTTAATGATTAGAAAAACGATTTTTGCCATTTTTGATAACTAATCATGATTATCACATTTTTGTCAACTTATTTATTGCTAGTTATTATTTTCTTGCGAAAACAATCAACGAACATTAACACAAAATAATTTATTGGTATTTATACAAAAATTAGTGCAGGTGTACGTAAATAATCATGGATTTATTTTGTTAACAATTTGATCAATAAAATCAAGAAACATAACCACTTTGGTGTAAACTCCAGGATATTCGGGTCTTGCACATCCATTTCCAAATGAAATTAGGCCAACAAGAGTTCCATCGACTGCAAAAGGGCCGCCAGAGTCTCCCTACAATAGATTATAGTCCTCTGTTATATACAGGATGTTCGGTTCAAGTCGCCCCGGCCGATAACACCTAAACTTACTTTTTTTTTCAAATACTAAATTTTCAAATAATACTATTCATTCCTCACTTTCTTAGTAAATGCATCAAATTTTTTTAGTACATCCGGTGTAGTCGGAAATGCTACCAAATTTAGTTTTTCAAATGGAACACCTATGTTTTTTTGCTCGAAACAATAATAATTGGTATGAAAAATACGGTAAAGCACTATTTATTACATTTTACTTTACATAATGCACTCAGAACTGAATGGAATTTTATTGCAAATTTTGCAACGTAGGCGGATTTTACTTGTCAAGGTATTCATGCTAAATGCAATATGCTTGGATACCGTTTAACTGTTAGTTTGACAAAGCTTAATTTGTCAATAAATATTATTGAGACCTTTAATAATGGATGATATTAATTACGAAGAATTGGTAGATCAGTTTGAAGTGTTTTTTAAGTGCAATAAAAATAGAGCGGAAGCTGAAAAACAGCAAAGAGAAAAATACTCAAATAGAGTTCACCCAAATCGTTGGAAATTTAGTCGAATTGAAAAACAACTGAGACGAATAAGTTCGCTTCTTAAAACTAAAAAACCTACGGTTCTTTGTGAAGAACAAGAAAATAGAAATCAGAATGTTCTGTTATCAGTCGAAGAAAATCTAAGAGTTTCTATAAGAGAACTCGCTCATCAACTGACCAATTTTCTTATAAAATTCTAAGATTTAAGATGTTTTTTGATTGCATTGTGTTACGCAAAATGTAATAAATAGTGGTATAGAGTATTTTTCATGTCAATTATTATTGTTTGGAGAAAAAAAACATAGGTGTTCCATTTAAAAAAACTAAATTTGGTAGCATTTCCGGCAACACCACATGTACTAAAAAAATTTGATACATTTATTAAGAAAGCCAAGAATGAATAT